ACGGACGGACGGATGGGATGGACCTCAAAGCTGCTGCCTGAGCCCTCTTTGGGCTGAGGGATTTGTTGGTGTGACCTTCCAGACGGCCACGGCCTTTCAGCTTCTCCCCCCGTGGGGTCCGGGGATGGGAGCAGCGCTTTTCCCTCCTGGGTTTTGGGGTTCTCCGGCGGGTCAGGCAGAGGCAGAGGCTGCTGAGACACACGCTGAGCGCAGCAGGTGGGGAGACACGGGGGGGGATTTTCTCGCTGCCGCCCTCCACGGGACGAGGGGGAGTCGTGGGGAGAGCGGGAAGGGTTCCCAAAACTCCCCCCACGCCGCGAGGACCGCGCTGTGAGCGGAGGGGGCTGCGCCGCCCCCCGGGGCCACGCTCGGCGCTGGGCACCAGAGGTTATTTTTTGTTATTGTAGCAAAATCAAAAAAGAGAGGAAAAAAAAAGTTAAAAAAAAATTAAAATTAAAAAAAAAAAAAAATCCCACTTTTACAAGGAAAAAGAAAAAAAAAACCCAACAAGAGCGTGGGTTCGAGCCGCCCCAACGCGTGCCGTTAGCCAGCCGGTTTTCCACTGCATTGTAAAGAAGTTCCCTTCTAGTTGGTTATGACAATTTGAAGATCTTTTTCCTTAAATTATCTCAGCTTTTAACTTCATTTAAAGAAAAAAAAAAAGGAGAAAAAAAAGAAAAAAAAAAAGAGGACTTTTGTCTAAGGGAGAGTGTTATTATTATAATTATTATAATTATTATTATTATTCTGTGTTCTCTCGACACCCTAGGATTGAAAAAAAACCGACAAACCACCTGATATGCAAATAAATTGGAGTAAAAACGTGAAAACAAACAAACGAGGAGAATATTTGCAAATATGAGTATAAAAAGCACAACGAGATGCAGTAAAACAATGACAAGGCTTGATTTTTTTTATTCTGTAGAGAAATGTTTGTGCAAATTCAGTAATTCAACTGAAGAGATAATTTTACAGCTGTTCAATAAAGCCTCTTTCCAGGTAAGGTTATGACAAGTGGTGTGTGTGTTTGTTGAGCAGTGAGCCCCGAAATGGCCTGGCCTGGGCTGTGCCTTCGTAAACTGGTGGTGTCTGGACGTGTAATGGTCCATACTGGTGATGCTGGGGGGGGCTGCAGCTTTCCCAGGATATTGGCTCCCTGGTTTGTAGGCACTTTGTGGCGTCTGGAAGATGGTGGGAGCTCTGGTTTGGATGGACTGTGGGGTCTGGAAAACAATGGGAGCTCTGAGTCTGGATGGACTGTGGGTTTTGACACCCTTAAAAACACAAACCACCACATTCCTCGCTGGGAGCACTGGATTCTGCTGGTGGATGGACGGATGGCTGGAGGACCAGGTCAGGTATGGTGAGACCCTGATGCATATTTTTGAGTTGTTGGCTCATTACTCAGGACGTGTGGAGTCCAAGCCTGGATGTGTCTCCTCCTGCTGGTGTCCTGGGAAAGCCACAGAACGGATGGATGGTCCAGGAGGCTCCCCTGGAGGCACTTTGGGCCTCTGGAAGGGTCTGGCTTTGCCCAAAGCCCCCGGGAGCCCTGACTGAAGTGGATTCCTTCTCCTCTCGCATTTCTCATCCTGTCTCTGCCCATGTGTGATGTGGGTGGCTCCTTTTTCCCTCGTTTCCTGGCTGGAGCCTCAGCAGGCACTGCAGGAGATCCCACAGCCTGGGTGTGGGACGTGTGCTCTCGCTTGGCCACACTGAGCTCGTGGCAGCCCCGGTCCTGCTGTGTTTTATGATGCACAACTTCACTGTCCTGAGCCTGGAATATTCTTGGACTATGGGAAAAAAAAAAAAAAAAAAAAAGAGTGGCAACCTGTCAATCGTTTTTGCAGAATCCCCGATTCCCAGAACGGTTTGGATCGGAGGAGACCTTACAGCTCATCTCGTTCCACCCCCCTCCACAGGAGGGGATGCTTTTCATGAAACCAGGTTGAAGGAGCAGGTGCAGCTTCCCATTTCCTTTGAAATATCTGCCTGGTTTCCCAGGAACAGACTCCAGATGAACTGCACCTCGGATGCCCAGCAGGGACCAGGAGAAGAGTGTTCCGAGCACCGGGCGGAGCTGCTGGTGAGGGTGTGACCCCATGGGAAGGGAGGGTTGGGAAGTGCCCTGCAGTGTCCTCAGCTGTGGCAGAAACAGCCTGAAGATAAGGGAGTGGAGATCCTGATTGCTTGTGCGGATCCCAAGCTGAGGCTCCAGACTGAAATCCCTGGTCCCTCTTTCCGTGCTGATTTTTCTTTCCCTCACTCACCTTCTGCTGGATAAAGGGTTTTGATTGACAGCCAAAGACCACAGACATCTTCTTCCAGGGCAGGATAATCTGTTTGTCCTGAAAAGCCCAGGTCTTTGTGTGAAAGGGAATTTATTTCCCATCCTTTTTCCACTTTTGCTCTGCCTGGGGGCAGAAGGTGCAAAGAAAAGCTGCTTTTCTCTCTCCAGTGCTGACTTAGGAGCAGCGTTATCTTCCTCCACATTCCCAATATAAACCCCTGGAAAGGGCAGTGGGATTTTACTCCAGGCCACAGATAAGAAGAACAAATGGAGCTATGCATTTCCTAGGCTTGGTTTTTATTTTATTTGTTCATTTTGTGGTGGAAATGGACGCAGCATTTGTAAGGGGGTGGAACTGAAAGCTCTCCTGGGACATTTGAAAACCCTCTGACCCAGGTCCAGGTTATCGCCTCTAATAATGTCTCTGATGTAGTTTTAAATTGGAAATCAAATACTGAACTGTGCAAATGTGGACTGTGCAGCAACTCCAGCGCTGGGATGTTGGGATCAGCAACTGGTTTTGATGGGGTGGCTGGGGGAGTTTGCTGGGTGCTCCCAAAGCAGAGGGAGTTGGAGGTTTCAATGGGAAATCATGGAATGACAGAATAGGCTGGGTTGGAAGGGACCTTAAAGCTCATCTGGGACACCTTCCACCAGCCCAGGTTGCTCCAAGCCCCGTCCAACCTGGCCTTGGGCACTTCCAGGGATGGGGAATCCACCCCCTCTCTGGGCAACCTGTGGATGTGCTGCCAACCCACCTGTCCTGCAGCCTGGGCTGGATCCTGGGTGGGACACGAGGAGGATGAAGGAGCAGAGACATTAACAAATCCCACCAAAATGCCCAATTGTGGTTCGAAGGCAGGAGCAGCTCTGTGAGAGCCCATCGAAGTGGAGATGGCCCGGGTGAGGAACACGTGGAGAACAAGGACTTCACACTGAGCCCATCTCGCATCATCAGCCCCTTTTTGGGGACTGCCATCGGAGGGTGTGCTGCTCTCAGCCCCACACAAACCCTTGGACACGTGGAATTCCCCCTTCCTTTGGGAGAGGAGCTGCTGGTTCACCCCAAGGAGATGGAGCTGCACCTTCCAGCCCCACCACGAGTCCTGCCCTCCGCTGATGCCAGAGCTTTCCCTCTTGCCATCCAGCACTGGAACCTCTGCTCCATTCAAAGAATCACCTTTTGGGGGTGATTGGGATCCCCAAACTTTAAAACAAAGTTTAAGATTTTTTTTTTTTCCTCCTCTTTTCCCTGTAAGGGCAGTGCAATCCCTTTGTGCTGAGGAGTTAAGGCAGAAGGACTGGGCTTTTTTTTCCCATGGAAAAAAGTGGAAGAGGCTTCCCCGGGTTTATTTTTGGAGGGTTTACTCGCTGGGGATGTTTCTTCATGGATTGAAGGGGAATTGAAACTCTCTTCCTCCCCAAGAAGAGCTGTGATCCATCAGGAAAACGGCTCTTTAGAGCAGTTCAATAAAAATAAGATACAGTTTGGTATTTTAAGCACTCTCTGCCTCTCTGTGCTAATAAAGAGATTGGGTGCCATCTGGATTAATTCTTGGATTTTCCCATAAAACTATAAAAAGCTATAAAAAAGGTTATTTTTACGTTTCAAATTCTTTTATTTTTTTCCCTCTTCTTCTTAATTTTTGCAAAAAAAAGCAGCTCTGCAGGAGCATTTACAGCTCCACAATGGCAGAGCCAGGCAGGAAGGAGGGAATTAAACCATTTCATTCTCCCCTGAGCAAAGGAATTTAGGGACCTACAGCTCATGCAATCCTACAGTCACGGGACTTGCAGAGCTCTCAAGTTTTAGGTCACCTTTCCCTAAAGCCCTGCCTGGTGTCACCCCATAAATCCCCTGGGAATGTGCCTTAGTGTAGGTGCTGGTGGGATTTGGGATGGGGAGGGATGTGCTGCTGGCAGCACCCACCGACCTCGCAAATTAAGCCAATTAAAACCAATTTCAAGGCACAAAGTGGGGAGGATGTGTTTGGGTTTTGCCCTCTACACTGACTGTTGCAAGACCTTTCTGTGGGGATATTTGTCATAAAACTCCATTCCTGGTACCTGTTTAGCATCATTTATTCCTATTTATCCCTTTCTGGTATTAAACTCCTGTCCCTCTGTACCCCCTGACGGCTCCAGGTCCCCTTTTTTGGCTGTTTCTTTTTACAGTATTTGTATCTCTGGGTCAGAAAAGTTAAATAATACCACATTAAAGCTATCATTAACCCAAATACAGGGAGCTTGGGATTGTACACCCTGCTGTGACTTATTAAAATACTGTTTAGTTTTCCTTTTTTTTATCTGTCAGATTGGAGAGCTTGGACTCCAAGGTTTATACCATGGGAAGCTTGTTGCATTTCCTCTCAGGAACACCAGATCCAAAGGCTGGGAAGGTTTCACTGAGGTTTCTTTGAATAAAACCAGCTTTCCCATTGAATTTTTGAGTGGTTTGGGTGGGAAGGGACCTCAAAGCTATCCATTGCCACTCCCTGCCCTGGGCAGGGACACCTTCCACCAGCCCAGGGTGCTCCAAGCCCTGTCCAGCCTGGCCTTGGACCCTTCCCAGCTGTGTTATAATCCAAGTGCTCCAGTGGGGACGAGCTGAGCGAGTCCCTGGAGAACAAACGACTCCGGACACGTGGGGAGGGATTCCCTCCTCAGCACCCAAACCCACCCAAGTCCAGCTATCCCCCAGTCATTGGCCACAGTCTGCGACTCACTGAGAGCACCCTAATCGTCATGGACTCATTTGGGGTGGGAAGTACCTCAGAGAGTAAGAGGTGACTCTTCCCAGCCGTCCCCACCACTGATCCGTGTGCCCAAGGGCTCCGAAACCCTTCCAGGAGTGGGGACTCCACCACTGCCCTGGGCAGCCCCTTCCAGCGGCTGACCATCGGAAAATCCATCTCAGGTGCCTGCCAAGGAGCTGGAACATAAACAGGACCTTCTGCAGATGGGTCTCCTGCATCCTGGCATGGTCCCTCCTGCCTGGCTCTTGTGTGACATGGTGGAATGTCACCTTGTGGGAGCCTTCCAAGGACCTGGGACAGGTGATTTGCAACCAACTTCCTTCCATTTCTACTCTCTGTGTGTTTTTTTATTTCCACTGAGAAAGAGGCTGGAATGCTGGGCAGGTGAATATTAAAGTAGCTTTGCTCCCAGTTAAGGTCGTGGCTGACAACTGGAGGAATCTCCACAGCAACCTCTCAGGATCTGGGATCCTGGCATGGAACAAGTCCTCTCCTTCTACAGGTTGGAGGTTTGCAGAAGGGAGGGGGAAAAAAAAAAGCATCATTGCAACAACTGTCCATCTCTTGACTTGTTTTTGATGGATCTGACCACAAAAGAGATTGGAGAAGTTCAGAATTAAGAATTAACAGCCTCAGCACCTTCTCAGGAAAGATCAGATGAGCTGCTTGCACACAACCAACTGCAGAGGGGGAAACAATGTGTTTGTGTCTGTAAATATGATATAAATAGCTGTAATTGTATGTATTTAATGTACATAAGCTGAGGATCACATTTTAACAACCTCAAGTATTGTACATAGCCCAGACCTGCTCTCTTATTTTACTAGCACACCCACTGTAGATTTATTTTTTGTCATTGTCGTTTCTGTATCTGGTTGAATTACAAACTGGTCTCACTTTTACCTCAAAGGGTTTATGTTCTTTATGTACATTTTATAAAGAAAAAAAAAAAAGCAAAAAAAAAAAAGAAAAAAAGCACTCTGGAATTTTGGGCACCTTTTCAGTTGCCTGCAGTATTTCCTGTCTTCTCCTCCTTGGCTGCCTTTTTGCTCCACTGGGGTGAGGAGTGGAGGTCAGCTGGGAGGGACTGGGTTTAGTGGGGGATATTTCTCTCTGGATGTGTCCCTGCCTTCCTGAGAGATGTAAAAGAGGAGGAATTTGTCTCCTCATCCCTCCACCTCTTGCTAAGTAGGGTGAGGTTTTATCCAGGCCTCGAAGAGTCCTTGCCCCCCTCTTACCCACTGGGGCAATTCCTGCCTTGAAGTGCTCCCAGATAAAAACTAATAAGATTTTATCCAGCCCTACAAACTGAGGGTCAAAATCCATTTCTTTGCCTTTCCATAACACTCTCCCGACCCCTGGGAAGCAAACCAAGGGAAAGCTGGGTGGGGATGGGTGTGCTGTGGTAGATCAGGCTGCTCCAGAGCTGCTCCCTGAGTGGCTGGGGATGGGATGGGATGGGATGGGATGGGATGGGATGGGATGGGATGGGATGGGATGGGATGGGATGGGATGGGATGGGATGGGATGGGATGGGATGGGCACACAGAGCTCTCCCTGTGTCCTGGTGTGGGGCAGAACAGGCCCTCCAGATCCCAGCTGGTCCCTGCTGCAGGATGAGCCCAGGTTAGCCCAGGGGATCTCTTGTGTGATCCAGCCTGGAGGGTGCCCAGCTGGACCTCAGGAATTGTGGGGTTGGTGCCCACTCTCTGCTGTGGGTATGGCCTGGAGCCTTCTGCTTCTCATCCAGCTCTTCTGCTGAGGCTGGAGCTTAAAATCATGGGATGGTTGAGGCTGGAGAAGCCCTCCAAAATCACCAAGTCCAACCATTCCCCAGCACTGCCAAGGCCACCCCTGCCCCTTGTCCCCAAGTGCCACATCCACAGGGCTGTGAAATCCCTCCAGGGATGGGAACTCTACCCAGCTCTGCCAGGGCTGGACAGCCCTTTCCAGGAGGGGATTTTCCCAATATCCAACCCAAACTTCTCCTCTCCTCCTGTCCCTGTTCCCTGGGAGCAGAGCCCGACCCCCCCGGCTCCTCCCTCCTGTCAGGGATTGCAGAGCCAGAAGGTCCCCCCTGAGCCTCCTTTTCTCCAGGCTGAGCCCCCCCAGCTCCCTCAGCTGCTCCTGCTGCTCCAGCCCCTTCCCAGCTCCCTTCCCTGCCCTGCCCACGCTCCAGCCCCTCCGGGTCTCTCTCTGAGGGTCCCAGAAGTGCCCCCAGCACTGGAGGTGCCACCCCAGCAGTGCCAGCACAGGGACAGTCCATACCCTGGGGCGGTGCCCACCCTGCTGTTGGTCTGTGTGGGGCTAAACCTTCTCCCAGCCCTTCAGAATTTAAATCTGTTTTTGCTGCAGCTGAAATGAGCCCACAGCCCGTGTCAATAAAAGCTCACTTTGTATCTCATCGTGTTTTGCAAACGCTGACATTTCCCTGCCCTTTCCCGTTCCGGTGGTTGCCTCCATCCT